ACGCCAATGAAACAAACTTTATGTTTTGGGCAGATGTCTTGCGAGAGTTGCAGTATTTTAATTATGCCTAATAAATTAAATGTTTAGGACTAAGTACCAAACTTTTTTAGATGTATTAAGAACCAAAATGTCAATTGGAAAGTTCTAGAGCTGCTTGAGAAACACCCGATTAGCTGTTTGCAACGTGATAGGCTCGCGTGGCTTCCTTCTGACTAGTAATAAAGCTTATGAAACATAACAAAATGCCCCGTGATAAAGCGCCCGCCCCATCATAAACTCAATTTCGAATGTCCCGGGATTTGTTTTTCATAAGCCGGAAAAAAAAAAAAGAGATGCATGCAAGACGCGTGCCCCACGCTTTATTTATATCAGAAAAGTACTGCCCTCTGTTTTATATACAACGTTTATTATTATTTTTTTTTCACCTACTAGATATTAGAAAAAACGTGGAAATTAACGTTTTGTGGATGTGAGCTATACGGCCAGGCGAAGATTGGGTTCAAGAAAGAACGCAACAAAAACCAACTGATTACCTAACATTTGTTAGTGAACTTTTTGATTATAAAAGAAAACGGGATAGTTGATTTATAAAGTTGTTGGGCGTAATCGAAAGTTACCAAATTGTCCAGTGAAAATTAGCGCCATTGCGGTTTGTGTAGGTGAGCTATACGTCTAGGCGAGGAATAGGTTCAATAACGAAAGCAACTAAAACCGACCGATTGCCTAAAATTTGCTAATTAACCTTTTAATTAGAAAAGAAAACGGCATCTTGTATTTAGAAAGTTGTTGGCCATAATCGCAAGCCACCAAACCGTCCATTCTTAAAAAAGATGTAACGCGCGTACACTATTATACGGCGTCCTCCTAATTTGGGCGCGAAAATATAGTTCTGATTTTATGTGGGCTCCATCTCCGCGTGGCACAGCCTAACGCCATGAAGCCAAAGCGGCAAATCATGCGCATCGCTGTGATAAGGCCACTGTAGAAGGGGCGAGGAGTGCGGTGGCCGAAAACATTGCGGTAACACGATTCGCGTCCAAATTAGGCTTTTTAGGACGCCGTGGGCCACTTCACGTCCTCAAGATCTCTTTAAAAATGAATGATTTGGTGTTTTTGATGACTACAGATAAGGCACGAACCGCAATTGCGTAACTCTGACGTCTTTTTTTAGAAAAATGTCTAGTCGTTAAAAAAAATCGCCCTGTATAAGCACGAATGTAAGGCAGTTCTTTACGTCCGGCGACATCATTGCGGCATGGAAGGAGACGTTCACCACAGAGCATACGCTGTGTATGATCTGTGGTCACTGTTTGTTTGTTTTTCGTACGAGAATGAGCAAACATTTGATACCAAATAAAATATATTTAGCATTCACCAAATTCGGCTTGTTTACTTGAATCAAATCGATATTTGATTTGATTACACTTATTTTGTACCCGCACACGCCTACTGTATTCCCTAATGAGTTACAAGTGATAATTACATTGTTTTTTTTTTGTCGTGCGAGGTCATCACAATTTATTAATAACAATCGGTGCTATGCGATTACGCGGAGGAAGTGCATTTGAAGATATTCGGTATTGTTCTGAATACACAAGCAACTTCAAACGTCTTGCTGTTTGAGTACTTTCCTACACGCAGGACCAATAATAAAGCCAAAACTTTATACAAGAGACTATCTCTATCAACTCAACGCGCAAACACGATGTGAAGCGTGTCTGCGTATGTTGGAAAAGAGATACCGGTGAGGCAAACCATAGCGTCGAATGTGCATGCATCAAAATGTCCGTGCACCGAAATATCCTCGCACCGAAAAGTTCCACACCGAAAAGTATTTGCAGCAAAAAGTCCGTACACTGAAATGTCTGTGCACCGAAAAGTCCGCACCGAAATGCCATACAGCAAAACGCTCTATACCGAAAAGTGCTAGACCAACTATACAGATGGGATCCTCCGTCACCTTTGCCGGTTTATGAACCATGATGATTCAGAACCACTAATCTATGGAGCGCCGTCGCTGATATACAGAAAACGCCGCTCGTACTTCCCGTTGTTGCCATGAATCTGCCTAAACAACGAAAGATGCCAAATCAAATATTTATATTAAAATTGATACTTCAATGACTGCTTCTTTGAGCAGAACAAGGTATTTGTGCTCACACAACAGCAAAGAATCGTCCTCCAAACCAATGCTAAAAAAGAGCCAATGCAACTCGTAGGTAAGAGCAAGTGCCAAGCTCGCTCAAAACAGCTATTCGGTTGGTTCAGCTCCCTGTCGCAGGTGTGCCGGCTGGCTTCTGGATAGTCTTTTCAAATCCTTGAAGCTTTCTTTTCCTCCACCCCAAACTTGTCAAAAAAAAAACAAAAAAAACAGGCAGCCGGCAAAAAAAAAAAAAAAAAAGCATCGCAAAAAGGCGAGGAGGAAACGAGAGGCGATTTTCTCCTTTCACAGTGGCGAGAAGGAAAGTGAGGGTCGGGTTCCTTCTCTCTGCTTGCGGGCCGGCCTTTAACAACGTTTAATGTAGAAAACAAATAGCGATTAATAAAAATATCTAATTCCTTTTGTCATTCTTGGTCACGTAACGCAACATATATTTCTGTTATTGTGACATTACGCAATATACCTGGTCATATCTTTGTAAAATCACTGCATAATTTTGAAAATATAAAAGTCAAATGTAATTGAGTTCGGTACAGTATTTTTTATTACTTTTAGGAGACAGTAATTGAACACTGCAGTAGATTGCATTTTTGTTGAAGTAATTGATTACTCTACACAATACTGCTTTATTGAGGTCATTTATTAGTGTATTCAATTACAGTTTAATTAAGTAATTATAATTTATTATATTGCGTTTTCGATAAAGTAACTGTAACTTGAATCAATAGCATATTCAATTAAGTAATTGGAACTTTAATATAGCATATTAATAAAGTGATTATAGACCTAAATATTAAAATAGCGTTCAAAACTTAATAATTGCAACTCCAATCAATTGCTTTTTCAGGGAAGTAACTTAAACTTCAAGCAATCGCATTTTCAATAGAGTAAATGTAACTTTCAGCAATTTCATTTTCAATGAAGTAATTGTAACTTTAATGAATTCCGTTTTAATTAAGTAGTTGTACCTAGTCAATTTTATTTTCTATGAGTGATTGTAACATATTTTTAACAATCTTGAAACGACGAAAAAAACAAGGACAAACTAAACACGTCTCAAACACAGCTACTAAGCTTTTTTGCAGAATCTTATATACACCATGTCCCACGCACGTCCCCCAGAAATTTGCACACGTCCCCGTGGCCTTCAGCTAGGGTACATCTCGTCTTGACCTCAATTCAAACCAACAACCTCAGCTCATACAAAGGTGTGCAAACCTACTCTCCCCTCCACAAATTCACATAAAGACCGAACCCGGCGCCACCCTCGCACATCCGTACAAAGATGCCCCACCGGCGCCATAAGGTGGCATAAACAACGAAACTATTTTATAAAAAAAAAGGAAAATGACAGAAGCATGAATGAATATTTTGATCGATGGATACGCCTGAACTCTTTTAATCGGGCGGCGGCTTGCGCTACCTACATTCTAAATAAGATAAACTAATATCCGAATTAATTCGTGATCAACAAATGGCAGAATAATCTCATTACGCTGCCAAGCACAAGCCTTCATCTACCATTCTCCAAGAAACCTCTTCCTTCCCTCGCCTTATGCCACCAGTCTGGTAACCTGTGCTTGGCCATCTCCGCTTTCCCAGCGTCTATTTTTCCGTCCGTGCCTTTAAAACCTAAAGCCTCCACTATATCAGTATCGCGTTGAACAACCGCAGGGAGAAGCCCTTTGCAGGAGGGTAGTAAGTGTTCAGCCGCCTCCTTTTCCTCCCCCATGTCCCACACACCGTATCTACGTCCTCATATTTCGCTCTTTACATTCTAGTTCGTAACGCTCTTATCCTGGCCTCAAACAACAACGAGCTTCTTCTGGAAATGTCAAAAATAATTATCTTAGCAATATTCATCTTACGTTTTTTATACGTCTTCAAAGTGAATTTAGTCTGCGTCCCTATCATCCCCTATTTCCCTCTCAGCTGTTTTAACTCTCTTTACTCTCATTTTCTGATCTGAGCCTTTATAGCCCAAAGGTTTCGACCTAACATTTGTTGTTCGGTTTCTTCACTTTTTATCGACGCACCTGATGTACAAATAGCCAAAAAACGTTCCGTGTCCATCCTTCCTCCTTCATATATCTTAGTCTACCTTTAAATGCTATCTTATTATATACAATTGTGTGAATAAAATTTAGTAGCTGCTTTGGACACGTTCTGTGTTTGTCCCCTCTTTCGTCCACCGTCACCAGTTCAAAACTGTGTAACATGCAGTTCGCCTGTGTGCTCTCCTTCTCTTAGAGTAGTTCTTACTTTAGTCATTTTCATCTTAAATGAAGTAATGCAACTCTAACGAAATATATTTCCTCCGTTACTTCTACAGAAACCTAGACTAGACGTCGCACGCCGAAAGGGAATCGGCGCAAGTCGACCAATCGACTTACGCTGTCTCCATGCGCACCTGACCACTTATAGGAGGGCTGTTTTTTCAGCTTCCCATGAACAGAGCAAACAAAAAAGGGTGGTTAAATTCTGGTAATATACACAAAACGTAGATACATACCCTGGCTACTCCTTGACAGGATTAGCGCACATGTTTATGCAGTTATTTAGACGTGCAACACATTTTAGATGCCCTCGCCAAGAAGGTTGCCGCCTGGGCTCTCAATCATTCTATTCCAAGCTTAACTAGAACATCACTCACCACAGTCGCGTAGACTCTCTTAAGAAAACTGCATAAAGCTTCGGGGAGGAAAAAAGCCACTGAGGGTCTCTTTGAACTCGTGATAAAAAATACAAGTTAACCCAGTTCATCGGAAGATGAAAAACGAATTACCCTTCTACAACACCGTGGGGTCTCTGATTCTTTTAAACACGTTTGGTCGCTTACCTGGCAGGTAGATTTTCCTCCTTCTTCGGTTCCTGCGCAAATCATCGTGTTTCTGTCGACATGTTGCACACCGATGTAGTCCCTTCTACATTCATCGTATGGTACGATGGGCAAGTCTACTTTTAGCAGATCGGGATTCGAGTCGTTTCCCCCTTGGGTTCCTGCGTGTTATGTGACGAAGTAAAACATATTACTCCGCTTTATTCGTCGAATGAAACAATATATATATTACATTTTTTTGGACGGTTGAACTTATCAGTAACTAAATTTTAAAAAAAGCAAAAAACGAAAGAGGGACCTATGAAGTAAGGTGCCTGGAACGCGTCCTCGACTGGTGTGTTTAGCGTCCCCTTCCGGCCCCTACATCAAAAGCGGTTCCAAAGTGGGAACAAATGACGTCAAAGTAACCGTTGTGTCGTCCTGTCGAATGTCGCGATCCTGGCGGTTGACGCTACGAAGTCTAGGCAAAAAAGAACGAGCGAGCGCAAGTGTTGCAGTCGTCGCAACGTCCCAACTCTTGCCTGCTGAAGCTTCCGTGGAATTGTCAAGTTAAGAGCTACCTGCGGCAGAGCAGGCGCCTGCCACATACACCGCCAGGGTCGCGTTTGGTGGCAGCGTGTCACTTTTGTGACGCCATCAGCCGGAAATCGAGGGACGCGGTAAACACCAGTAGGAGTCGTGTTCCAAGCACCATAGTTGAATGCACTACAAAATACACGTGTCACTTGTATTGCAGTCCATGTCCCTCTCATGTTTTTACGTATAATGACAAAACAATGCGTTAACAACTACTTCCATTTGATTTCCTGATACGCAAAACCTTCGTTTAGAAGATCTACTGAAAAAAGAATAAAAGCCCTTAGGCTAGAGTTTTTAGATGATTCAAGTGTGAACTTGACAGGAGATGCAAGATATTATTGAAAACTTTTATTTTACTTGAAGAAATTCGATAATATGAAGGGAATTAAATCAACGAAAATGATGAATAAACTGGAAGCCCCTTGCCTAAAAAGGTAGCCAAAACTCGAGAAACAAGACGTTCAAGATTACTGGCGGTAGCAAGTTTAGAGTTATAATAATATTCTAGAAGAAAAGGCCTTGTGCATTCAGGCTGCTTTAGAACGTCCGGCATAGTTGCTGAGATCGGGTTTCCCAGTTTGTGGTCCCGATAGATGCGAATCGCTGGCGACGACTTAATACATACAAAGAAGCAACAAAGCATCCCATGCATTGTCTGCTCCCAGTTTTTCTAGCTTACTCCCCCCCCCCCTCCCGCCCAAAAAAAAAAAATAAAAACACGAAATAGCGAATTGTATAAAAATAAACAAAGGTGACAAGCGCTCCAGCAACTTCAACACGTCGCGGTAAACGAACCCTCACCTAACCTTTCGTCTGTTTTCTTTTTTGCTTTTATTTCGCTCTCTTTCTCGTTCTTCCTCTCAGGACCATCGATGTCAGCGCTCAGGATTTGCCGCTTCTGCTTCCATATTTAAACCCCCTAGCGGGAACTGACCCTTTTTTAAAAAGTAACCGAGCAACACTGGTCGCCGCCATATTTTTGACATCTTTCCCCGCGCAAACAGTGGTTTCGAGTTCATGCCGAGTGCTGGCGCATCTCTCGCGTTCAGTGCATGCTAAATGTGCATGCCCAAAATTATGGTGACCTCGGAGCAGATATATATGTACTAAAGAGCCCGATATTTTGAAAAATAAAGTATATTAAAAAACTGAAATGAACCATAACTTGCGAGATTCCCTTATGCCAACGTATTGAGGGGAGCCACCAGTAGTAATGCGCATTTTGCCAAAGCTAAATTGTAGCTTCGCCTCTTTCTGATTTTCACGGCTCTAGCAATTTGGTGATGTTGGTTTCTCTCGTGAATTCGCTAATCTCAAATATAAAACAAAACAACAATAAACAGTTTTGTAATCGAGTAAAGACCGTTTCAGCGCATATCACGCAGGCGAAAAATACCGAGTCAATGAGGTGTGAACACATGCGCAGAATCTTGTATACCGCACAACAGAGCAACAGCGCTTACCCAGAATTCGTTCACAGTCCATCAAACAAAAAAAGGCAGCGCGGAAAAGGCTATTTTTGGAAAGGTCTATATAGCGACTAACAGCTTAAGAAGGAACGCAGGACTTTACAAGTCGAACTTTTAAGTCAATGCAACACGGTTTTTTTGTATAAACATGTAATACTATTTTTTAATCATAACATAATCTTTTATAATCCAAATGAAACACACGCGGATTCGTTTAGTTTATTAAATAATACTATACCGGTTGTTTGTGGGAAATCCGAGCACGGCTTTTCGCATCGCAAAAATAAACTAGTCATTGCGAGGAGCTTCAACTTTGTCAAAACGAAGCCCTAGCCGTTCGAGCAAGACACCGAAGTTTCAGCGCAAACCATTATCTTATTCACAAGCTAGAAGCAATTTCCGGAAAATTTAAATGAAAAAATGGCGCTCGGCGGCGCTTTCCAATACATGGAGCTCTATGGCGACAGAAACCGAAAACGGGCGAAAATAGGCCCCGTTCTTCCAGTGAAAATGAAAAAAAAAAATATATCACCTGTAACTTTTTAATGAAATAACGGTTAGTGCTGAAACTTTGGCATCTTGCTCGTACGGCTGGGGTTACGTACGTTATGACGGAGTTTAACCTTTCCGCGATGTCTAGTTTATTTTTGCGGTGCGAAATGCCGGGTTCGGTTTTCTTACAAACACTCGGTATACTAAAACCAACGAGGTAGAGGGGCTTGGAGCGATAAACCGGTATACCGTTCACCAGGCAAAAGTGACCCCCTGTTGGCCGCCGCCATGTTGCACATTTGTTACTACTAGATAATGTGGATGCTTGAGCTAGTTGATAATTCATGCTTGGATGAAACAGCGCGGATATAGAGTCACACTCACAGGCACACAAGACGCGGAATTACCACTAGACACGTGATCGTACCAAATCCTGAAGTTTTTACGCAAAACTGAGCCGAGAATTGTATTGCGATCGCTGTAAAAAACACGATAAAACTATTTTTTTAATACTGTTAGCCTCAGGAATCAATGTCTAGCTCCGATAAAAAAAACCAAAACACAGCACCGCGGTTGACGGCATCTAGCGGAGGCATTGCGAAGCTGCCCGAGTTTTTGTCGTAAAAGCACATTTTGTACTTAAAACAAACGTACTGTTAATAAAGGTCAATAAGCAATTATTCTTGCGCGGTACGTCCTTAAAATCTAGACGTAAAACTATAAGGCCACGTGTCTAGTGGTCAAAAATGTGCAACATGGCGGCGGCCAATTGGGGGTCACTTTCAGCTGCCAGTTCATCGCTCTAAGGACCTCTACCTCGCTGATTTAAACACATTTATAGGTGGCAATTTCCTTCATTATGCTACATGAAATTAAGAGAGTTTAGCCGACGTGCGCTCACTGTCTTTTGTAAGTCCCCATCCACTTGCAGTGCAGGTTTGTCCATCAAAGTTCTGGTTTAAGCTGGGAAGACAGATGGGCATGAGATGCTTCTCCTGACCATTGAAGTCCAGAGTCTTGTTGAGCTTCAGTATCGAGTAGTCATATACAAAGGTGTCCGGATCGTATAGTGGATGAACTGTTATCTGTGTTTATGGGGTAATAAAAAAAAGAAAAAAGAAAACACAAGAAACAAGGCGTATATTAAAAACCTTTGAAACAAGAGCAAACCGCATGCAAGATGTAATTTTGAATCTTAGGGCAATAACGTAAGAAAGGTAGGGGGTTGTTGAAAAATACCTGATATAATGAAATAGCACTGTGCCACTCCTAGCCTACACCGTGAGAGGAAAAGCCACGACAACCGAATTTATGATTATTGTTACATGGATGACTCTGCGCTCTTGCATTTGAACTAGTATTCGCACACGTAAATTAAAAGGTTAACATTTTCATTCAATTATTGGTACAGTTACCCTACCGCTAATAGTATAATATATAAAAAAAAAGCACAAGAGATTTGTTTTTAACACAGAGTGGTTCTTTAGACACAAATCTTGACTGCGTTGAAACTGCCGAAAATTACTCGCGCTACAAAGGCAAATGTAGAAATGACGCTTGAAGTATGATTTTATCCTGCAGATTGTTCTTTGAAACGCAGGTCGTGTGACGTTGAGGTTTTGTAAACTTTAGTAGGTGGAATAACTTGAAGAGAATTCGTTCGACGCTTAAGGCTGTTCACACATTTGCTTTTGAGTGTTACTGAGTGAGTTGCGCGAACCTTGTTAACACTTACGACGAGAAAACAAAATGACGCCATATAACAAACAGTCGCTGCTCACCTCCAATTCGCGAATGACTAGACTGAAGGCTTTACCGTATTTGCGATGCCAAATCTACAGACTCTATATAAGAACTTGTCGCTTAGAGCTTTAAGGTGGTGATTTGGACCAGTTGGTTCGTAGCTAAGGAAAACAGCGCCGGAACAACATAAGGACCGATGCAAGAGGAACAAGACAAGGTGCTCCCTTAACTGAAGTTTATTACAAAATACACGCATATGTATCCATCAAGAAACTCCAAGTCACTGCGTATTGCGACACATCCCGCATTTTAGATACACGTATTCATTCGTAGACGAGGCTAAGGACATGTCACTTGGGCATGTTTTTGCCACTATAATCATAATCTTGAGTGCGTTACGAATTTCATTTGACACCTAATCCTTATAACACGCCAGAATCTTGGTTGTCATTGGAGGCAGGAGTGCACGTGCACCTGGAACAACGAACGACAAGGTGTTCTGCCGGTGCTGATTTGTGGAAGTTGCATGGTTACTTACGTAGTCGCTTCCATATCTGCCCGTCTCACCTATTGGGAAAGAGATCCAAGCGTAGCGCCCTTAGTGGCTAAATTGAGGACGAATTGGGAACAACAACAACATAGATTATTTGGTTATGTTTTCACACAGAGCTCGGCCCACGTAGCCGATTGCAGCGTCAGCGTTTGGCTGGGGCTCGTGTTCAATCATGAAGCTCAACGCGGAAGCAGCACTCATTGATTTTTTTACTTCATCCGTTTTGACTGAACGCGGGGAAACATCTTGGCCACGAGTCGTGCCCCATCTTTGCCCCACGCTTAATCCATCAAGATGAAGTGAAGAACCCGTGCACGTGCCTTTTGTTGGTAATCACTGGGTGCCTTCATGTGCGTTTCGCTGAGGGTGATGACACCTGACCATTGATTGATTTATTGAGAAGACGTTTATTGACCCTTCCGTTAAAAAACAAGGCTCAGTAGTTCGCAATTTCAGAAAATGTTGACTAGGCGGGACATTGGCACTTTACATTTTGTGGTACAGCAGTTCGGTCTCACTCAGAGCAACACTTCCTTTGATTACCTTACTCTCAAAGCTCTGACTGACTGACAGACTGACTGGTCTCGCTAAGATATCCTCGCAGGCTGGACAGGGACGCGACACGCTTGTTCTTGCACCCTCGGGGCGGCATCAGGCCTCGAAGCACAGGAGGCGCGTAATTCCTGCAGTAGCCCTGGAACAGCCTTCTGTTTCTCGCCGCTGTCTCTGAGTTAGCAGGCTGTAATCGTGGTCTTCTACAGCCGCAGGCCCGGTGAAGGTAGCTCTCCTCTCGCGGGCCGTCCTGGCTGCGCGGGCCGTCCATCGCTGAATGCGGGAGGGCGCGATGCCTGCTTAAATTGAGCCCTGAGTTTTCGCACATTTATCACCTCGTGCCTTCGGAAGACCTCCGAAGGAATGCTCGCTTTGGGGGGCTCTCCTCTGTCTTCGAGTTTTATTCTGACGCTTTTGTTTCTTGTTTTGTTCCTGAGTGCGAGCAAGTGCATCTCCCGGCATGGGCTCTTGGCATTCACAGTGCTACTACGGCATTTTGTAGCCGGCTCTTTCTTTGTATTTTTTTTTCGATCGTGCGTGATAGTGGCATCGTGTACTGCAAAGAATGTCATCACCCTGATTAAAGCGCCCATGAAGGCACCTTAGGTAAACGTAGAACTCAGTGCAAAACAAGCTGGACATAGCGCCTCCTACAGTTCGACCTCCACGCAATTAATGAAGTACCGCGTAACATGGGAATTGAATAAACAACCCATGTTACGCAATTTGTTAACTTATTCCGGTGTTCATTGCCACACCTAAAACACCTGCCTTCTGTGACACCAAGATTTTGCGCGTCATAATAATGAACTGTCAAGAACATTCATGAGGTGTTTGAGATTAGGACCGAAGGAAAGAAGCCTGCATAAGTGACATGTCCTTACTTAGCCTTATCAACAAATTAATACAAAAAAAAAATCTGAAATGCTTGCTGTGCCGCAACACGCAATGACATTTCGTTTCTTGATGGTCTTTGCGCTTTCAAATAAACTTCAGTTGAGAGGGCGTTTTGTCTTTTCCCTTTTGCGTTGGTCCCCGAGTTATTTCGGCGCTGTTATTCTTAGTTTATAACGTCGTCGAAATTGTATCAAACGCATGGCGAAAAAAGAAATGCGCGTAAAACAACTCGGTCATATATTCGCAGATCAGCATTGTAGCAAGGCTAGCTGGTAGATTGCGCCAGCGTGCCAGCGTATCATTCCATCGTAAGATAAGTCACAAGCGGGTGCACAACACCCTCGGTTTCACGCAAACCTAAAATTTGCGTGAAACCTTTGTAGTTTTAGAAAATGCCACTTGATACTTACGTTCTGCACGCCAATCCTTTCTTCTGTGGGATCTTCAACATTGATATTTTGTTCTCCGACCACAACGGCATATTGTTCCGGTATTCCGCCTAGCCTAAAGGAAAGAATGCACAGCCTACTTAAAGATTCAACTAAAATGTGAGTCTTCTATCGAGCACAACATGTATCGTGCTGGAACAGAATACTCCTACACCTAATACCGCGAGGAAGTATACCGAAATTCGTCTTTGGCTCATCGGAACGCGAGGGGGAGCACGCCGATCAAAGTATACCTCAGAGGACACGCAGGGAACGCGCGATGAGACGGAGCGGCGCGTTAAAGGTAGGGCGGGGGGGGGGGGGGGGGGGGGGGGGGTGGAACAAACACGCGAGGTGCGCGAGGAGGAGGAGGTACTTGCACGCGTGTACATAAAGCCATTACAATTGCAGGTATTCCGAAAGAAGAACCGCGTTCTTGCGTATTATCGGTGTTTGTTACTCAACTCGCACTAGGCTATTGTCACGTGACCGCTTAAGAAACACAGGGCGTGCGTTATTATGCTCACTTTCTTTGCTTCGTGGTTTGTCCTTGACCACTTTTTTTTTGTTCGGCCCATATGCAGCCATCTGATCGGCTGCCGTGGGATAATTAGATGTACAAGACCCGCCCCGCCCCGCAGCTCGCGGTGACGTCTTTATCTTTATTAATTTTTTTTTATTTCATCGATCAAATTCTTCGCATTGTCAGAGTGTCCACTATGTGATAAGTTTGGTTTAAAATTGCGATGACTCCAAGCGGAAAATCGGTATTTTTACAAAGAGTATGTAACTAGTAGCTTGCAAGCGACGATAAGGTAGTCAAGATTAGACAGCTCATGACGTCATGGCGAGGCCAAGTGTGGTCGTGACTTCACGAAATGGAAACCATAATAGGGTGCCACCCAAACATCTTGGTGATAATAAAAATAACGGTAAAACGCCACTGAAAGCCACCATCAAAAACTGAACACAACAAGTTTGAAATGCCCATTTACCAAATAGTGAACGGTGCTTCTTTTAAAACTTGACGTCACGTGACCCATATATCACTTCACCTTCTTCCCTATATTTGGCAGAAAAATCTATGTCACTTGTCCTGGCCTCATGTGATCTATACGCCAATTTAGTTTTCTGTTGAATTTAGCGGGTGGACTGACGTCAGGTGATTTTCAGACGAAGTCAGTTTCCCCGCTCAATTTAGAGGGGCACTTCCTAGCCAATATACGTTCTTTACTCCCCGATACGACGGTTAATATTTTCTAAACAAATATAGACGATAGCTCCTAAAGTGCGGTATTCCATAGTACTCTTGAGATAAAGGCCTCTGTCAATTTTTCACTTTTAAGCCCGAGCCCAGCCGATGCCACGAGCCGAAGGAGAAAATCTAGCAGCGCCAAAGGTGCGTCGTCACGGCGCTTGTCATCGATGCGTTATCTGTCGTCGGCCACGCCAACCACGTCAATAAAGCAGCGCAGGGTCACCACTCAATCACTGCGCATGACCTGTTTACCCAGTGCTTGTAAACGCACTATGACGAATGACGACGAGGATCATGACGATGATCGTTTGCGCTGCTCGACTGATTCCATTGAATCGTCGAGTGAGGTCGGATTTAAATTTTAAAGTCAAGCAGAAGGTTACCTGGCCCAAATCTTGTGATTGAAAGTCTTGGATCCACGGGAATATGCCAAAAAGACGGGAGGGCTAGAATCCGTCCTCTTTTAACATGAAACGTTCCTTAACTAGGTGATCGGTATTGCGTGAAGCCCTAAAGTGAAGCCTGGATAAAAGCGTGACCGCGAGGCTCGACACTGATTGGTTGCCGGGTGGGAGAGGAGGAATGAGGTGCCCCACTCCGATCGGTTAACGGGGAGGTCATGTGACCAGGGGCGGAATG